TGGCCACAATTAAAAATTTTTTTTGACCATGTCATCAGAGGGGCTCCGTAAGAATCCATCATGCGGCCATTTGCCAAAAATATTACACAGATGGAGCAAAGAATTCTCTTCGAACTCACATTCTCCAGTTTTGTTTTGTTTTTTTATATCGTTTCAGTACTAGAAAGGATTCACTTTAAACTTTCGTCCATTTTCTGACACACTTGTCCCTGCTGGGGTCGCGAGGGGTGCTGGTGCCTATCTCCAGTTGTCAATGGGCAAGAGGCGGGGTCCACCCTGGACGGTTCGCCGGTCTGTTGCAGACTAAACTTTCAGAACAACCTTAATTTTTTGGCCACAGACTCAGCAGTATTATATTTTAATAAGAAAAATATATTTATTTTACTGCATATGAGAAAAAAAAAACAGTTACTGTTAAAATCTTTAACTAGACCAGGGATCTTTAACGTTTTCCAGACTGATGGTTAGATGGAGCGGGGACCCCCTAATTATATATATTGTATGAAATTGTGTTATATATACTTGATCCTATAGTCACTCTATTACAGATGGAGTAATGTAACTAAGGGTAATTTCTCCCTGGGATTATTAAAGTATTTCTGATTCCTGGTTGATGGGACAGGTGTTGTGAATGAAAAGGTGTCCAGCTTGAAAGAGCTCCTGTGTGTTTCTGAATGTGTGCATTGATGACTGAATGACATCTTCTGCCTCCATTTATCTGGACTACAGTGTTTTAAATTCATGTTAATGTGCTTTAAAGACATTTAAAGACTAAATATATAGTTTGCAAATTAAAGATTTCGTTTTTAAATAAATATTTAGCTCCAAATTAAATCTTAAGTTTGATAAATAAATATTTAACTACAAACTAAATATCTAGTTTGCAAATTAAGTATTTAGTTTTTATTTGAATATTTAGCTCCAAGATAAATATTTAGTTTGGTAATTAAATATTTAGGTTTCAAATAAATATTTAGATCCAAACTAAATAATCAGTTTGCAAATTAAATATTTAGCTCCAAATTAAATCTTTAGATTGATAAATAAATATTTAACTCCAAACTAAATATCTAGTTTGCAAATTAAATATTTAGTTTGGAAATTAAATATTTAGTTTTTAAATAAATATTTAGCTCCAAATTAAATATTAAGTTTGCAAACTAAATATTTAGTTTTAAGATAAATATTTACCTCCAAACTAAATAATCAGTTTGCAAATTAAATATTTAGCTCCAAATTAAATCTTTAGATTGATAAATAAATATTTAGCTCCAAGCTTATTATTTAGTTTGCAAATTAAATATTTAGTTTTAAATGAATATTTAGCTCCAAATTAAATATTAAGTTTGCAAATTAAATATTTAGTTTTTAGATAAATATTTACCTCCAAGCTAAATATTTAGTTTGCAAATTAAATACTTAGGTTTTAATAAATATTTAGCTCCAAACTAAATAATCAGTTTGCAAATTAAATATTTAGCTCCATGTTAAATATTTCGTTTGATAAATAAATATTTAACTCCAAACTAAATATTTACTTTGCAAATTTAATAGTTAGCTCCAAATTAAATATTTCGTTTTAAAATAAATATTTAGCTCTAAACTAAATAATCAGTTTGCAAATTAAATATTTAGTTTGGAGCTAACTATTGAATTTGCAAAGTAAATATTTAGTTTATTTTTAGCTCCAAACTAAACATTTATTTGACAAAGTAAGGTTTTTTAAATGAATGACTGACATGGTGAAAAAATAAATAACCGCCTGCATTTTCTCTTAAAACAAGCTAAATAATCATAAATATTGCTCCTAGTTTTTGACTGCTTATCTGCACAAACGGCGCCCCATAGCGTACAGCAAAGCAGCTCTCTGCCAGCAGACGCGGCTCCTTTGATGCTCCTAAAGCGAGTCTGAGCATTAAAGTGAAGCAACAGAAGTTTTTTTGCTGCTTCCAGCGGTGACGGTCTGAATGTAGCATCTAGACTGGACATGAATGAGCGCTGCCCGGGTAGCTGATGTGAGTTACCGTCTCCATCAGCTCTTTGGTGTAAGGGTCGAGTGCAGGAGAAGCATAGCGAGGATCCCAGCCCATTTCACTCAATAATAGTTCTAGCTCGGTGTCCTCAATGCCAGGAAGGTGAAAAGCCGCCATTTTCTGCCCTTCTTCACAAAAAAAAAGCCACAAAAAAAAAAAATAAATAAAAAAATTCTGAAACGTCCTGAAACAAGAAAAGAGCAGAGTCCTTTCTCTTGTTGATAAAGGCGGTTAATGGTTGCCCGTAGCAACCGCACCTGCTTGTTAACGGTCGCCACAAGAGGGCAGCGCGCGACCGGAAACCAGCTCCAAGCAAAGAGTTAGGCTCCAGAGATTCTTCTCTGCAGCTTCTGAGGAGGGTTAGAGCATTAAACTGAGGGGGGGTTATAAAGAATCCTTTGTTGATACATTTTTTTAAAGCACACAGATGCAAAGAAGACTTATGAAAGCCCGTTTCCGCTACATCAAAGTAAAAAATGCCAAATAGAAAGACATAATTATGAGCTTCAAAGTCATAATTTCGAGTTTGATAATCATAAATATGAAATAAAAAAATCATAATTATGAGATATTCAACTTTCAAACTTTATATTTCAGAATTATAGTATTAGTGTTTGCAGTGTCCATATTATCTGTAAAACTCCCTGCATAATTATAATAAAGCAACTTATATGCATAAAAAAGTGGAACACTATGTCCGATAGCCCTACTGCTCCACTTGTGAAAGTAAAATCTGTTGGGCTCTTTTTGGCATCAAGACAATTGCAAGATCTTGCAAAACTATTGCGGGATCTTGCAAAAGTATTGCGAGATTTTGCAATACTTTTGAGAGATCCCACAATAGTTTCGCAAGATCTCGCAAAAGTATGGCGGGATCTCGCAAAAGTTTCTTTTTTTCCAGATCTCCCAAAAGTTTTGCGGGATCTCGCAAAAGTTTATTTTTTGAGAGATCTCGCAATACTTTTGCAAGATCCTGCAATACTTTTGCGAGATCTTGCAAAACTATTGCGGGATCTCGCAAAACTATTGCAGGATCTCGCAAAAGTTCTTTTTTCCCCTCGATGTCCCTTTAGGGGCTCCGTAGTAACCCTTATTACCAGTTTAAATTGTTTGAACAATTAAATCTTAGACTTTAACTTAGACAATAACCTTCTGTTTATTAATGACATTATCATTCATACATACACATATGTAAGCTTGTAATAACATCCAAAACAAACTGAAATAAAGACCATAATTCAATTAAATTAATACTGAACAATGAAACAGTCTTGATATTCCATATTTTTCACCTCTAAATGAATCTATTGATCTTAAAAGACAACATCCACAGAGTAAATCTTGTAGGTTTTATATTTCAAGAATTTATTTTGAAAGGACAAATAATGAAGCAAACATCCTAAACCCAAAGCTCTTAAAAAACAACAAAAAACAAAGATTAAAGACACTAAAGCAAATGGAAACTTTTATTTTTCCTTAACAATTCTGTTTAAACCAGTCTGTTTTAAAAATCCCAGTGTTTTAAACTGGCCTGACACACATCATAATACATCATGATAGATGCAAAAAAAGATTTGTATTAAAATACAATATCCCTTTTAAAAAGCTATGAATTCACATTACACTTCCAGATCACATCCACACGCCTTTAAAGACGACCATTACCAGAAAAACACAAGAGTCAAGATCCTTTCCAGGTGGCTTCTAACATATCAGCACTACAGGCCAAGTCCTCAAACTAGTCAAGCAGAACGTACAGACATGTTTACGTAGTCGCTGTAAAACATTTGAGTCCTGAGTGTTTAAAAGGCATGATGATGACCGTGTGGCGCTCTGCACAGGCCATCCAGTCGTGAAACTCTGCCACCCTTAAACCGCCGTGCTTTTGGTCCCAATGTGCTGCCGTGCAAACTCTACAAAGTCATCAAGAAGGACGGGCCAGGCTCCTGTTGATGAAAACCGAAAGCAGAAAGTGTGACTTTGCAGAACAGTCGAAGTTTTATAAGCGAGGAGCAGTTTGACTGACCTTCTTCGTCGTAATTTGACATGTCGTCAGTGATCATGGTGCTGAAGTCTAGTAACAGATTCCAGGTGTCCTTGGGAATTGATTTTTTGTGGTGCTCCTGTAATCAAATTAGACAAATAAGCAAATATAAAGAAATAAACTTTTTTTTTCTTTTTGTTGATGACCTGCCTTGATGACACAAAAAAAAGGTCGACAAAGGCTACAGATGCACCACGGACAAGTAATTTACGCAGGCCAAAGAAAAAATTTTCCAGTTAAACTCCTTCTGTTTTCTTAGTTTATTTCTCCTCAGGCAAACAAACAGAAAAGGACAAACATTTCCTCCATGCTTCTCTTGCGCTGATAAAAAAAAAAGCATACGCCCACCCCACTATTTATAAAAAGTAATTCACCCAAATTTATCAGAACTAACCAGGAACAAAGGAACATAACTAAATAACCAAAAAAAAAAAAAAAACATAACCTCAAAACAGATATCAAACAATAAAGTAGAATAAACTAAGCTGGATTATCCACAAAAATAAGAAACTTTGTTAATTATTAACAAAAAATAAGTGGCTCACAGCTACACTCGTAGTAATCTGGTGGTAAAGTGAGTCTCGCAAAAGACACAAATTTAAAAAATATTTTCGCAATAAGTTGCTTACAAATAAAACCCCAAATAACCAAGATCCATCTTATATCAGAGATCTGATTAGGGATGAGTATTATTATGGATATACAGACACTACTACTCTAAGTGATACTCCTCATTGATTCGGTAAGCCAAGAGTAACGAGTAACGTTTGATTTAAACATGTAATAGAAAGTACTGATACTTGTGTAAAAATGTAATGAGTAGAAGTCAGAAGTAGGAAGAAAAATAAGTAATGGAGTAAAGTATAGATACCTAAAAAGTGCACTTGAGTACAGTAACAAAGGATTTATTTGATATATATATATATATATATATTTATATATTAGGGGTGGAACGGTTCACAAAATCCGGTTCGGTTCGGTTCCAGTTTCCTGGTTACAGTTTTCGGTTCGGTATATGATGATTGTTAGGAAAATCTACTATGTCTTGTAAAGTACAACGCGCATGTATAAACCCTGTGAACGTTTAATTTAATATGACATATTTAAAAAAAAATCCACATCATCATCCAGCAGATGTTCAGATTCTGCCCAAATATATTCTTTCTGTTGTGGATTTTTGTAACAGTGATAACTAGGATCATACATAGTTTATATGCACTATGTTTGTTCTCTGCTTCCAAACTCATCATCTCTTCATCCATTCCTGCAATAAGAATTTTCTTTTAAAGTTGTGAGATGCGCTGTAGAATCTCACAGCTTCTTCCTGGTGTGTTGAAGCACCAATAGTCTGCATCCAATTATTTAATTAATTGCTCTTAGTTTTTGGATTATATACGAATTATGTTCTAATTTCTAGTTACCGATCTGTTTTTACTATAATTTAATTGGAAAAACCGGGTCTTCTCTACATTCTTTTTCCTGTTTGGTGCGATTGCAATTGCGGGTCTTGATCTGGACTGACGGAGTGGAGCAAAAAAGAGCTCAGGTCCGTATTTTGACGGGGAAGGACGGAGAAGACGTACGTGGGCGGTGACGAGCGGAGGATGTGGAACAGCTCTCATTGATTTACATGACAGACAAATAGCCTACTCCGCACGACGTACGTGAGCGGAGCGCTGACGGAGTATGTGGAATCTGGGGCTAAAGGAGGACAAATACACGTCCAACTCCTGTTCTTTCCCACTCGCCATACCCACACAATTCTCCACAACAACTGATTTTTTTTCTGCTACACCCGGCTACGCTGCTTCGCTTCTTCTTCTTCTTGTTTACTACTGGTGGTTGGCTTTGGTTGCATAGACCATAGACCTTCATTATTTGAATGTCAGCAGACAGCAAGAAGCCTCCCAGATCTCCAG